ATGGACAAAATCAACTTACAGATAACTGGTTCTATGCCATTGATCTGGCAATCTAGGGATACGACATGCATAATCAAAAAGTGGGACCGGGTCCGCCATTACTGTGAGTGCAACTTGTCAATTTTATAGGTTATATTTTTAGTGTCATTTGTGTAATTAAATTTGAATTTAATTTGTGTTTGAGCAAATTTTGAGTGTTACACACTTATAAAGTATATAATGCCTTGCTGTGTTATACGTTCCTGCTCTAGCGATAGAAGTTTTTGTGAAAAATCGACTGGAATAAAGTTTCATAGGTTAGTATAAAAATTATAAATATTATACAGGACAGTATTATTACAGGTTTGTATAAAATGTGTAAAAGTATCCTTTTAAAAATGCAAAAAAATAATCTATTCACTTTTGAGCCTACCTATATTGGAATAATTTTTCATACGAAATAATATTTATAGATTTCCAAAAAATCCTGGATACCGTTTGACAAAAAGCATAATTGGGAACCTTCTAAATTCAGCTGTTTATGTTCCAAGAATTTTCTTGAGAAGTACATTAATCGTACGCCATTTCGTTTATCAAATTTATAGGCATTTTATATTCTTATTTCTATTAAAATATAACCTACATTGGCTGTCCTTCCATCAGTTTTATTTATTATTTTTACAGCTGATTGAAAAGTAGAGCTTCATGTTTTGTGTATGCATGAGTATTGTTTGTTTTATTAGGGTTAATTTAAAACAATATTAATAGACCTTTTTAATTACCTATAGTTTGTTTCAGATTAGTGCGTTAAAAGGAATTGGTGAAAATAAAGCGATTTGCCAGCTTTGGGGATGTGTCAGTAAAAGTGACATCGAAGTTATTCAACGTTTCCAGAATAAAGTATTAAGGAACATCGTCGATGCACCCTGGTACTGCCACAATACTGATCTTCTTAGGGACCTTAAAGTGGAGACTGTTGAAAATACAATACAAACATTTGCCAGTAGTCACCAACAACGACTGCTCCAACATGTAAACCTCGAGATTATCCAACTCGTCAACAATGCCAATCTAATAAAAGGACTCAAGAGAACCAAGCCTTTTGAGTTAGTTCAGTGATGTTTAAGCAAAGTATAGTGCAGTAAAGTGATTTAAACTCTAAGGTATACTAGAAAGCAGAATATCAGTTTGTGAAGTTCTTCGTCCCTTGCTAAGTTAGAATAAAATTTCTAATTGATCTTAATGATTAGATTGTAATAATCGTAAATGTTTCTTTACTTGGGGCATTTATTAAAAAAAAAACTATTTGTTTCAGATTAGTGCATAAAGGACTTTGTGGAAATGAAGTGATTCGCCTTTATATTTTATGAAATAATGTTTAAAAATTATTTGTTTTAAGAATCAATGTTTGAGTTTTGTGTATTTTAAATAGACATTTTATAAATGTCTTTTATTAGTCTAATAATATTTTAGAAAAAAAAGCTAGAATACATTTCTGAAATATTACTATTTAATATCTCTAAAAGATTTCAAATTGTTATTTCACAAATATTATTGTGAAATATTATATTTACAGGACTTTTTACGTTTCAGGTACATTTCAGAAACTTTTGGTTGTTTATCAACAATAATTATAAACGTCAGTGAGCTACTCAGTACTACACTTGTCAACTACGTTTCCTTTTTATGAAAAATTTAAATTTGCAAGATGCCTTTGCTGTTTTTGAATTAATAATATGCTGACATAGTGTACCTTTAATGATTTTGTCATGAATATTTGCGACCTGCTTGTATGGAGTATCAGTGACGATTTCCATACCGACAAGTTCTAAAGCACTAAACATTCAGTGCTGTGTTTCGACATATTCGAAAATATGTCATACTATGTTAATCTATCTTTTGATATTAAACTCTTGTAGCTTGGTAACCATATAGAATTGTATGTTTGTTCATAGATCATTTTATGCTTGAAATGAATTCAGGAATATGATATTTAAGTTTGTACAGTGCATATTATGAACATACTGTATATAAGTTCTTATAATAATAAATATTTAACATCAATACTCTCTTATTCTTTTTTTAATGAGACTAACAACAAAATCATAACCGTTTGTTTAGTATTAAAAATAAATATCACTCATAGATATGGATAAGAAAATATTAAAACTGTATTCCTTGTACACTTTTATTCAATCACAGCACACATTATTTGCATTTACAATATTTGCTTGACGTTCATATGCCCCAGTCTGTTTTGTTCACCTTTTCTAGTAGCTTTTTCTGCTAAACTTTGGTCCCTATTCTACCTCCACCTAGGTAATGAATTATTCAACCATTTAGTTAACAACGGGGTTTTACTTGTTTTACAGTCAGATACTTATCTTTAATGTTCAAATTTTAGAATTTGAACTTGGATTAGGCCATTTTCGTCAATTTTATTCTTAGAGCTTTTGAAAAAACACTTGGGAAGTACTCACACAAATTTATTTCTTATTTTGCCTAGTGAAAAAATTGTGTATTAGGAAGTATTCTGGTTTTTACCTCAGTGGTTAAGAAAAGCACTTATAGTGGATACTTTTCCTAACTTGACAAACATTTATTACCTAGATGTTGGCCTCCCTTTATCACCAGCCTACAATTTCAACTCTTTTACTGTTAACTTTAACTTCATCTGTGACTTTAACTATCATTGAAACTTTATTTTCACATTCTTTGTCTGACTTTAAATCATACGTGTATGATTATTGTGCATAGATCAATTAAATTGGACCGGCACGCTTGTGGTGCATGTTGTGTTACTACGGTAGGCCTTTACATAAGTAGTCATATTCTCTTCAGATGTGAGAAGCCCAGCTCAAACCAACCACCATAATATCGTCATTAGATCTATAAGTCTCAAGTAAGGTCACTTCATATTTTACATTTGTTAGAGGTGCACCTGCACACCGCTGATTGTGACTTCGCTAATTTACTAAATGTCTTGCATAAAGATATACACCTTTCAGTCTGAATCTACAAAAGTACCAAGATCAAGTAAGATTAATCCACATTTTGGTTTCCTGAATAGTGCATCTACCTACACAGAGATTGCTTATTAGCCATTTTCCGCGAGCCATGCATTAAGTTTCGAATCTGATTATCGAGCTTTTAGTGTATGAAGATATTTGTTTTTAATTTCGAGGAAGCTGTTAATTAAAGTAAGGTTAGATTACTTGACATTTGCGCCCTTGTACTTTCCGATTTAAAGACAGAAAGCATTGGGCTCATAGAAAAACTAAAGATTGGGTTATTTATGTGCCCTAGTGCAAACTTGTGACGACTGATCCAATAAATCGAACTCTGTTTACTTTTGTCGCTTATGTGAACCAAAAATATACTATTTATTTTTTCTGTGAATGATTTCAACGCTTTAGGGTTAATTCCACCATTGTGTTAAAGTTGAAGATTAAAATTACATTTTATGTAAAAATGTCATTTTAAACTTCGTTAAACCCAATGGTGGAATCGGTCCCAAAATAGTTATATCATGGTCATTGATTAGTTGCAATTTTGCAAATAATATATTCTCCAGCGTTAAGCGCTCAAGTGGCTATTAAGTAGCCACTTGAGTGATAATTAAATCAGTTATATTTTATTTCTTTCAGTTACTTTATTCAGCACCTCTCGAATGAAAACCGGGCATATTTAAGCTTTTAAACCCCCTTCTTTTATAACCTCGGCCTTCCACCACCTTTTAAGTCAATGTTAATAAAAAAGGAAATTTATTTTTTTATAGTTCAAATAATGATACTTAACCAGAAATAGTACAATAAAAACTCGTAAATCCGGTTCTGCTCTTCCGCCATTTTAGTGAGTGCAAAAACCACGCCTACCGGTCCCAGTTTTGTATATCAAAAATAATACATAGGACGTATCCTTACGTTCCCTTATCAATGTTCTATGCACTAGACACTTATGCACAAGTTAGGCACTGTTTTGCGATTTTAAAATAGTACTCTAATATGAGATTTGATAAATTAACACGATTCAATTGCCGCGTTTGAGAATCCACATCGGATGTATCTGAGATGTAAAAAATCTTTGATCACGTGATTCAGTATACGTAAATGTAATGGGACAGATGTGTCCGATGTGGATAAAAAAACGCTCGAGATGTAAAAAATGCATCCGATGTGGATTCTCAAACGCAGCAAATGAAAAGCTGTTTATACATTCGGTATCAGAACCGGACTCCGGCACTTCATTTGAAAGCTTGTTTTATTCGAAATTAAATGCGTAGCATACATTTTTTATTTTGGTTTATTTTGATTACGATAAAGTTTGTATTTCTTAATGCTTGGACTCTGCATGTTGTTTATACGCGTTATAACGTTGGCCGAGCCATATAAATAGGAAGTGCTGATAATATTCGTTTTCTGCTCGCGTTAATGCCAACTTTGCCATGGAGCGTATTGGAAAACGTTGATAGTCGATACTGTGTATGTTATAGTGATTAGAAATATTTTCTGTAAACTAGATAATCACGTTAAAGACCATTACGCCTAAAGCTGCTAGTATAGTATTTTAATAAAATTATTAGTATCCATATACATCACAGTTCTTGATTCATGATTCATTACACAAATAAAAAATATGAGCATGAGATTAATGTATAATAAATAAATATTATTTAAATGTCAATAAAGTAAATTATCTTTTTATTTGAAAGATATTGCAAATTTCTATAACCTCAGCCACTAATAGTGACGACGTAATTAAAGGAAAATAACTTCCATGCTAAAATAATAATTAGTTTTTGATTTTAGCAAAAATCAGCTACAAACTCCAGTTTTCCAAAAATCTCTCTCTCTCTCTCGCTCTCTCTCTCTCTCTCTCTCTCTCTCTCTCTCTCTCTCTCTCTCTCTCTCTCTCTCTCTCTCTCTCTCTCTCTCTCTCTCTCTCTCTCTCTCTTTCTTTCGTCGAAACCAATAAATCGGTAGGTGCTGTCAGGTTATTTAACAAATATATTTTATTATAAGGTAACCGCCAATGGCTTTATCAAACGTGCACCGAATTTGGGTTCCTCCAAACATCCTCTTCCAAGTCACAGCTATTTGGCGACAAATTACAATTGGACTTCTACGAAAAACAATGCCTAGATGACTTCGGACCAAAATTTAACAAAACCTTCCTGGAAAACGCCGTGAAAAGAACCAACGTATTGTATGGTGGTTTGAATATTGAAGTGAACAATGTTGTATTCGTTCATGGTTCTTTGGATCCCTGGCACGCTTTGGGAATAACGCAATCTAAAAATGGCGCACCGGTCATCTTAATCGAAGGTAATGTACCGAATTTTTATTTGTCTTTTACCGTACTAATTTTTTATTACATACTTCATTGCAAGTTTAAAGCTTTGTGGTATTGATGCAGTTTAGTTACTATTTTTCCAGCAGCTTTTACCAAGCTTCATCCTACATATTTATATGAACTGAAAATAATTTCTTCTCGAAAATAATACGACCATTTAAATAGAAGATTGTTATCACTAAGGAACGCAGTCCCACACTGACGAACAAATATACAGACCAGGAAATATTTAACACGTTCGCTGCGTATGCCGCCTATAGGCGACATCCGCGTCCCCACTCTAGTGCGGGTGTCGCTTATGAGCGACAAGTGTATGCCTTGCTTTGTATATTGTATACTCAGTAGAAAACTAGCAATGGTGCAGCGTGTACGTAATTTTGTCAGCGTGTTAAGATTGAATTGAAGTAACGGACTTTTATTTTCGTTCGCGATTTTGTTGATTTTTGTGCCTAATCGACTGCCATTAAAAACTATACAAATATGGACAATAAGGCCGGTCCTTCGGGCATAAAACGTCCTAAGTTGCATTTTAAAAATAAAAAAATCACAGATTCCGAGCTAGAAATGGTGTTAAATTGTAGTGATGATGAATTCAGTGAGCCATTTGAAGAAAGTGGCAGCAACTCGTCTGAAAATGAAAGTGATGCAGATTATTTACATTCACTAGATGAAAACGACCTGGATAATTCGGACATAGGTAAACTTTTAAGAATTTTCCACTATTGGTGTGCTTATAAATAAATATTTTTTAGAAGATGGGTAGATTGACGTCACTGATACAAACACGACAATTCCACCAGCATTGCCGCCATCTACGACAGCGTCGCCGAATTAGCAAAATGTGTCTTCGGGGATGAAAAACATAAGTTTTTTAAAACGTAATGAACTAGTGGTTGATGTGCCGGGAAATGAGCCGATCGATTATTTTTTACATTTATTGGATGAGGGCATTTTGGAAAATATAGTTCAGCATACAAATGATTGTGCTGTGGAAGTGCTTTGTGAAGCGGGAACAGAGCGTTCTCGTATTTCTCAGTGGAAAGAACTTAGTGTTCCAGAATTGCTAAAGTTTATAGGACTTATTCTACACACAGGAACTATAAAAATAAACAGATATCAGGACTATTGGAAAAAAGACAGACTTTTCAATTTAAATTGTTTTTCAGATTATATGAGTCGAGATAGTTTTCTGCTTATTTTGCGATGCTTGCACTTTGCAAAAAATCCATCTCCTACCAACCCAAAGCCCGAAGATCGCCTGTATAAAATACGAGGATTGATAGACTATTTCAATGAGAGAATGTGTGAAATTTACTATCCAGGCAAGCAACTCTCGTTGGATGAGTCTATGGTCTTGTGGCGAGGACGACTGGTTTTCCGCCAGTATATCAAAAACAAAAGACACAAATATGGCATCAAATTATATATGTTAACCGAGCCAAATGGTATGGTGTTAAAATGTTTACACTGGACAGTTGGACGATATGGGAGGCAAGGGACACGGAAAATAAAGTGGTACTACACTTATTACAAGAAAAACTAAATAACGGACATTCCGTATTTATGGACAATTTTTATAATAGCTTTAGCTTGGCACCAAAATTACTAGAAGCAAATACTGTACAGGTATACTACGAATAGATAGAAAAGATAACCCTGAAGATGTAAAAAAGCAAAACTAAAGTAAGGGTGACAGTGTTTGTAGATATTCAGACGGAGTGATGATAGGGAAGTGGAAGGATAAACGAGATGTCACATATCTCAACAGAGTTTGAGAACAATCTAGCCACTATAACAAATAAAAGAGGAGAGGAAAAGTTGAAACCTGTTTCTATACTTGAGTACAATAAGTATATGAGTGGAATTGATCGTCAGGACCAAATGATGGCGTATTATCCAAATACGCATAAAACCGTCAGATGGTACAAGAAGTTAGCAATACATATATTTCAAATAGCCCTGCTAAATTCATACCTCCCTTATAACAAGTACTCAGGGAGGAAATCTAACTTCTATGATTATAGACTAAAAGTAATAGGAGCTTTGCTTCCTCAGACAACTGTTACGCCTCGTCCTAAACCAAAACCTTCACAAGAACATTTTCCCATCAAAATAACGGCGAAAAATTCGGTAGGAAGAGTAATAAGAAAATGGTGCAAAATGTGCCATCGGAAAAGAGTCACTGTATCATTGCGAGATTTGTCCAGATAAGCCTGGTTTGTGCATAACAGAATGTTTTGTAAACTATCATAGAAATCTTTTGTAAGTTTTTCAATCATTCAGTTCGATTTTTATATTTCATTTTTAGTATACTTTATTTTATATACTCCTTGACTGGTGTTTCCGTTACTAGAAAGTGTTAGTTTTTAATATTCTTCTTTTTTTTTTAAATAAACATCTCACTTACAACATGCGTCATTAATTTAACGGTGAATAAATAGTTGTCGCCTATGGGCGACATCCGCACTGAAGATCTAAGTACACCGCATAGTGCTAATATCGCCGTTGTGCGACATGTCAAAAATGACAGGTAAAAATGGAAGAAATATTATTCTAATGTATGTTCATAATTTTAACTTAATTCATAAAAGCAGCAAATACTGAAAACAAGTTCAGCTCCTGGGAAAAGACCCAACTGGAAATACGCAGCGAACGTGTTAAACTTGAAGTTAGTGAAAAAATTATTTAAATTTTCCAATTAGGATGGTAAAAGATTGAATACAAGAGCAGAAATATTTATACTTTATCTCCAAAAAACTGCCTGAAATAATACACCATTAATACATACCCAAACCATAGGTATAAATTACACCAAATAAATAAGGAATTTAATTCAAAACAAAGAAAGGCCCAAAAACAGTGGCAACGAATGAAAACTATAAAACAAACAGAAGGAGACTAAATATAATTACACAACAGCTACGAAGAGAGAGACAAATCAAAAATGAGTCAACCTTAAAGAGCTCACAGGTGATCAAATCACTGATTACTCATTAGGATGAGCTGTCAAATAAATAAACAAACCAGTTTAACACATATTCTCTTTTGGAAATACATTTAACATTTTATAAAATAAAGCAGGCTAGCCCAGCTGTGAGTGTTAAAGCTATCAATCAATTATTAATCAAACAGCTAAAATACTTTAATAATAATTTTTTCATTAAATTCATAATCCAAATATAAAAAAATAATAATCTCCAAGAATAATATTTAGCAATGCTTACTGCTCTAAGCAGCATGTGACCAAGCTCGATACGATGCACTGTGAAAAAGGAAAGTGAAAAGATTTGCTTTATTTTTTTACTTTGTTTTATTTATTTTAGTATACACCACCCTAAATCAAGCCAATTAATGGGTGAGGATTGACAAGCAATAATATTGTGAGCGGTTTTCTCAACTAGTTAGAAATACTCTCACTTGTGGTGTTCGAACTGGGTGTGCTCGGGCGCCAGTTTGTTTTTGAGTGGTTAGCTCCACTTTACCTATTGGAGTAAGCTCCAAAAAGGGCTGCAGGTTTTAAGATTTTAGGGAAATAAAATGTCAGGTTTTACTTTGTTAACTAACATACGTTACGGTTGATAATCTGTGTACTAAATATTTTATTTACAAGCCCTCCCAAAGTTCTGGATCTAACCCAGAACAAAAACTAAACAAAAAGCATTCGTAACGGAATGTAACTGGGAAAATAAAAACTCATTTGGACAAGTGGGAGTGTTTAGGAATAAAACGGTGACGGGGAAACAGCGGGAAAGCCAGAAGTACTACGCGTCGTTGTAGCAAGCCTACGATTTTCGGCAGGGTGAACTTCCGGAATCTCATGAATTTCTCCTCTAAGCATATTAGAGCTTCTGACTATTCAGTTATCCCTAAAGCGCAGGGAATATAGAGACACGGCGGGGAGTAAACGGGAGCGGAAGTGACGTGCAAGAGATAAATTGCAAAACTAGCTCCTTTCTAACGGACCACACAGTGTTGCCAACTTCTTAGCGACCATTTCCACCAGATGCCACAAAAAAGCCCCAGAAACAAAAAAAAATGTTTAACAATAAAATCACCAGAAATACACCAGACCAGATTTTTATAAAAAATAATTTATTTAATATAAAAAAACAAACAAAACAAAAAAATAAAAAATTAACAACTCCTTTGGTTTTAAGAAAATATAAAAAAATAATGTAATACATACTTATTACTAAATAAAATCTAAATTTATGTCGATTACTTCCTCCTCGAACCCTTCCTCTTGGGAATATGTATTTTTGGTTTTAATTTTACTTATAACATTTTCAGGTAGTTTATAGCTATCACAACATTTATTTTCAATTTTTACACCTAATTTAACTGTCATTATGGAATTGACCATTGCCATTCCGAGTCTGTTCCTTAATTTAGTCTTTATTATATTGAATTAACTGAAAAGCCGCTCAACTTCGGCATTAGAATATGGAAGTACCAATAAAGATAAGGCAAACATAGCTAATGGAAGAAATGGATTTTCACCACCTGCATCTTTAAATTTTACTACTTCATACCAAAAACTTTGGTATCTTTGATGTTTTTTCATTCTATTAAATGTATTCTCGATAAATTTTCAATTGGGTCAATATCCTGTTCAGGTTTATTAAAAAATTGCAAGAGGGGTACAAGAGAGGGTTTGTTGTGCGAAAAGCTGTTCCCAACACTTATGTAGGAAACCTTTTCCATTACTTCTAGGTTTTCTGGTAGTCTGCTTTTTAATTCTTCTATAAGTTTACCAACGAAATTTATTGCTCTTTCCCGCAGATAGTTTTCATCTTCTTCTCTTAAATGATTGTCATCTTTTAATTTCTGTAAAATACTTTCAAATTTATACCCTAGATGGCATCTCTTATCTAGATAATTTTTAATGTTTTCTTTAAAAATATTTATTTTATTAAATCGGGGTATAGTAATCTTGGATACCAACGTTTCAATTAGAGAGACCAATTCGGAATGCAACTTTGTAGGATTAGCATCATTACTCTCAAATAACTTATTTATTCTTTGAACTTCCGTAAGAATGTCCCTTAAAAACCAGAGAAGGGCACAGTTTTGTTCATCTTGATACATGCCGTACAATGTTTGAGCTGCAAAGCATCTTTCTTCATTTTGTACAATACTAAAATGAGTCTTCAACTCCAACCACTGATCAAGTATTCTACAAACAACTGATTCTATAGACATCCAGCGTGTCTGATAAGCTTGTACAATTTTCAGGGGGGTATTGACCATCATTAATTGCATTATATAATGCTTTGTATTTTTGTTGTCTAGAGTATGACCTTGCAAACCAGTCATAAGTCTCTCTTATCAGAAATTCTAAATTTTTAGGCAAACTCTCAGTTGATGCTGCAGTTACTGCTGACTGCAAGGAATGACATACACGTCGTACAAGTATAAGATTTGGTATTTCTTTTTTCAATATTGCATACACCCCATTATTAATGCCAACCATTACTGCAGCATTATCGATGCCAATTCCCATTAATAAACTTAATTTTAACAAAGAATCTTATTCACGAATTTGTACTTGTTTTGGATTATCTTTAAAAACTCTAAAATCGCTAACAACAATGTTCAGCTGGGAAATTTATTGATAAAATTCGAAAGTGTAGACAAAACGTAAATGGTAATTTTAATTTTTCAAAGTAACTTCTTGTATTCGTATAAACGCACCTTAATAAAGTTTACGCTGCCAAACAACAACAAAGCGCAACTGAAATAAGAAGACACGTGCAAACTGTAACTTAAAATGCGATACTCTTTTATCAGATGACTTTATATTATAAAACGTACGATTCACGCCCGTTTCCTGATCTCTACGTGCTCGCACGTTATTATAATGTGATCGCTGGCGTTCGTACATTCACGACCTTGTTCGCATGTAAGGATCTAAGTAACATGCTTATTACGTAAACTACTATTATTGTACTTGATGGTAATAGTGTTTTAATAGCATTTATTTTTTCTTTTTTTTTTTTTAGGTGGATCGCATTGCTCTGATATGCACAATCCATTGCCTAACGATAGTCCACAACTGAAGGCGGCCAGATATCAAATTCATCGTATCATCGGTTCTTGGTTCAATTTGTAAAACCAGTCATCGATATAAATATTATCCAGATTAGTGAATTTTTAATAATATTTAGCTATTTTATGAGTTTAAATTAAAATATAATATTCTGATATGAAATCGCTCTGGGTTTTTCAAATATGAAAGCGACTCATTTCCTAAATCGTTAATTTTTTTACAATTTCTATAAATATTAAAAAAAAAACAAATAGGTACATTTCTTCCAACACTACTTTCTTTTTCTAAATGTCTTTGACTATCATCCTGTTTATTCTGATTAAATGTAACTTTTTTGCGATCTACTTACTGTGTTTTTCTATTTTTTCTGCTTCGTAATTTTTTTTAAATTTATATAGAAAACATAATTTCCTTATGTTGATTTTATATAATTTTTCAGTTAATGTACCAATTTCTAAACAATGGATTTAAACATTTCTAATTAACTTTTTGTGTAAATTCTGAACAATCTTTCACAATCATCAAAATTTAAATTACTTAAATTACTTTCCTAGAAACTAATCAGCACAGCTTTACTCAATTAAATGACACAGAACCAAGAAATTTTTCATATCTATATATACCTGCTTAATAGTATATTGTTACTCTTACTGGTTGATTTTATTGAATATTTCGTTTTAATAAAGTTTTATTTTGAAGATCTGTTTAATTTTTTTGCATATTCCAATTCACCTTTCGCGTTAGGTGACAATTTTGTATTAGCGAAAAAAGTGAAGTACCTCTGAATCTAGTTATTTTCCAAACAACTTATTTTCTATCCCTTTCTCTTAGAGCTATTTCACACAAGGATACTCTATGCGAGATACTTGTATCCCTCAGAATAGTACAGAGAGGACAGTACCCTGAGAAAATTCGGCTTATACAAGTACCTAAGATTTTTGACTAACAATAGCAAGTTTTTAAAAAACCTGCCATTATTTTATTGATCTTCCTTTCTTTCTTATTACCCTTATTAGATAAACATTTATCTTTAGTTTTCAATTATTTAGCAGTTGTTCAATCAATTTGCTAATAATTCAGGAATAACCGTTAGTTGGCATTGACTAAAAATAATTCTAAAAAAAACTTGCAGTTATCTTTTAAATTTTAATACCGCCATCTACTAGTAGAAATACATACAATTAAGGTTATTTTTTTAAATACTATTGGCATTGTATAAAGAACTATAGTAGGATAATCGCCATGTAAAAGTTATTGGAGGCAATAGCGCCCGACATCTATTGGTACAATCATTGAACTAACGATTTTATTTACTGGTTAGATACGCCCTCTACGTCAGATGTTAGAACTTTATAAGTGACAATTCCCTTAAATTAATTGTCAGTATATATTTTTTTAGTTATTGAGATTAAATATAATTAAAAATTAGTGATTCTTGTAAAGAATCAATAAATAATAGCATTCCACAAGATATTCGTCTATATTTAGAAATAAACTGAGATTTTAATGAAACTAAAAGCAATCTGATTATCAGCGTTAAAAAGTAAAACTTTTTCATAAGTCTTCATAACGAAAATTTAGAGTACTTGTCTATGAATTGCAGGGTTCCGAGTTCAAACCCACGAGTAGACACTTTTTTTTATTATTTAATTTTATTTTCTAAATTGGTAAAACTTAAATTAATTTCAAAACATGAATTTAACTTTAATGACGTCTAAATCTTCATGCTCAAATTTCGTCTTTTTGCTATGGCCACTCGGGATCATCAAATTATAATAGAATATTATAAGGTCCGGTAATTTTATTTAAATCTTTTGACAATGACACTAAAGGAGAAATATACCGAAAATAACAAGTATTTAAATTTTGCTAATAAATTTGTATTAGATATGTGTTAAAAGAAAATACATCATTTTGGATTTGAATATACAGTGTGTCGCAAAATGTCTGCACCAAGAAAACACGAAATTACATTTTTCTTTAATCTACGTAAAAAAGTGCGAATTAAAATTTTTTTACTGAAAATTTATGGTACCTAACAGGGTTATTCATTATAAATTACCCTTCCTTTATGCTATAATCATTATTGTATAATATTTACATTGACCGAATTTTGTAAAAATGTCATCAAATGACCATATCAGTGGCGTGCATATTTCACAGGATTTAACATGAATATTTTTTAATAAGGATAGCATAGATATATATTTTATTCAATTTTCGGAATGATCTTTATTCTTTCCTGATTAATTAAACGTCGAATATCTTATAAATATTTACACTTTTTCTTTCTCACTGTAAACTAGGTACCTATTTGGATTATTTTATTATCAAACATAATAGTTGTGATTTTCATAGCTTTTACTTTAATAATGTTAACTTTTTCATATTTACATTATCAACGTTAAATTACTCGAGAACAGACGGTATAAGATAGGGTTATCAATAATATACATTTGTGAAATTAGAAAAAAAATATCCCAGAAATTTAATAACATAGAGGGTATCCCATTTAAAAAAGTTTATTTGTGTTGTATTCCGTGAAATCTGAATACGTGTTTTTATGGTATATTTAAAAAAAGTCAGTCATATTCACAAACTTTTATTTAAACCTTTTTTTGAATATGCAATAGTGGTTATAAAAGGTGTCTTTAATAATGAATAATCTTGTACATGATCTCAAATAAATTTGTTGAAATTAATTTCATTTGTAAAAATGTCACTTTTGCTTCTCCCGTATTGATAAAAAAAAAATTGTGTCCAGGTCCAGAATTTGATGGTGGTAAATATTAATTCTAGATACATTTTTTAAGTAACATTGTTCTCCTGTTTTTAGAAATAAAGGTTAATGTTTAGCCAAATTCATATATTTTTTTGGACACACAGTATGTTTGTATAATATTAAAAACTACCTCTACTAAATATTTTGGCCCAATCAAAGTAGATATCTTAAATTGATTATTGCTAGAAAAAGTAGAAATAATATTAAATATAATAAAGAAATTAAAAAAATAATTTAATTTAATAAATTGATAAAAAAATTGAAATTTTGGATTTATATGTATAAAAAATTGTAGATTTTAACTGTTTTTTTATAGTTCTAACTTGATTTTTTGAGGATGCCACCCCCTCCATCTCCCTCTAGGGGATGGTGGTGGTAAGATATTTATACAAAAATGTTGCAAATCATTTCTATTGTTAATATGCCAAAAATAAGTTTTTAAGTATCTGTTACTATTTTTAAATGCCAGCCCCCACATCCGAACTATGAAAATTAAAGTCGAAATTTTTTCCAAATAAAAAAAAAATTGGAAATTTTTTTTCAAAAAAAATTGTAATTTTGGGTTTATATGTATAAAAAATCATAGATTTCAACTGTTTTATTTAAAACGTTCTAACTTTTTTTTTGGGGATGCCATCCCTCCATTTCCCTCTAGGGGATGGTGGTGGTAAGAATTTTATACAAAAATGTTGCAAATCATTTATAAATATGTCAAAAATAAGATTTTTATGTCGTCTGTAACTATTTTTAAATGCCAGCCCCCACATCCGAACTATGAAGATTAAAGTCGAAATTTTTTCTAAGTTCAAAAGAAAATTTGGAAACTTTTTTTTTAAAATTGTAATTTTGGTTTTTTATGTATAAAAAATCGTAGACTTCAACTGTTTTATTTTAAAAGTTCTAACTTAATTTTTTGGGGATGCCACCCTCACCATATCAGATAGGGGTGGAGAGGGGTGAATTTTTTAAAGCGATTTTTATTTTTATGGGATAATAGATTCATATACCAAGTTTAGTTTCAATATTTTGACCCTAAATGCCCTATCCCCCAGAGCCGAACCCCAACCAATAATCCTTATAGAACCTATTGTGTTTACTTCAATAGTAAGAATTCATTTATATTATTTACCAACCATCTTAAGGGTTTTTTTTATTACATTGTTACGCACTAGATTAAAGAAATAACCTGTTGTTTATAATTACTTATGCTAAGTATTAAGGTAGGTAACTTACCTACCTACCTACCTATAGGTATATGTATTTGAATTAAAAGTACAATTCGTACATATTTTCTATTTTATTAATTTTAAAACATTTATATATACACAAATTTTTAATTCTAATTTTAAAACAATAATTAATAGTTAACTAATTTATATCATAATATATATCATTAAGAATGGGACATAGTACAACTGAAGATTATCTGAATAAAAATAAAACTATTAAACGAAATAGGCTTAGAAAAAAAATACCCGTTTTCGAAATGCAGGGTGTTAAAGTTGAAAATTCAAAAATTATTAATGGCTATAATATTTTTATTTTTCAGTATCATTTTACTGAATTCGGTAAACATTTTTGACACTTTCTAAAAACTAATTTAAACTATAATTTTTTTTTTTTTATATAAATCATGTAGGTACTCTTGTTGGGAACTCGTCCTTTATTAACAGTAAAATAATTCAGTAATAAAACATAAACACAACTCATTCACAATACCTACTACCCGTAAACGCACTAACGCACAATAACAAACATTAGATAGAAAATAGTCCAAACATTCAATCACGAGTGTATAAAATTTCATCCAAGAGCTAAAAAATAGAAATCCATCGATCGGTCTCCGTCATTCTCAAAAATTTCTGCTGGACCCTCAACTCCGCCCACTGCAAACAAATATCGACTTATCCATATTCACTAGCGCCATCTACTAGTAGTATCCATTTCGCTCCAATGAAACTTCCATAAGGTGAGACTACTATTAGTTCTTTATACAATGCTATTGGTATCTTCATCTAAGGTATCTTCTATACCGATTGTACGCCAGGTTGAGTGACGTTGCCACATATTTAGTTAAATATTATAAGATGACTAAATAAATCATAGAATGTTGTATACCATTGTTGTGAAAACTCACAACATTTTGGCTAGTATTTTCTGTGTTAACAGTCTTTGTAGACTATTATTTAAATATTAGTTACCTTTATTAATAATAATTTAATTGTTAATTTTTTGACTACTGCCGCCCTGTAAAATCCTTAGATGCATTGTGAAACCAAAAAAAAATATGGAATGTCGAGGCACAGAAGAAAGAACACAACAGAAAAGAAAGTAATGGTCGGAACTTTGAAGTTGAAGGGATAGAAATATTTGACCTTGAGTTCCACCACAGAGATACTCTGAGAAAACGTAACTATTCACAGTACATGCGAATGTAGCTATTCACTGAATCTACACTGCGAAAACTACATTTCTTTTTTACGGAATTATGTGTCATATTTTATGAAAATTTG